AGCAGATTACAACACGGCCATAAAACAACTCATAAAACCCCCACACATAAACATTCATGCATTTACTCTCTGGAAATAAGAAATACAGTTTCCATCCAATGAGCCTGAAGTTGTTGATATGTTAGCAAATATTATTTTGTTGCTAGGGGAATTATTTTGTTTTGCCTTACCTAATACATCAGTACTGAATGATTTTTAACAACAAAATTATGTATTCACTTGAATACATTTTGAAAACATTTCAAAGCCTGCATTGTTTAAACTGGCTTGTGTTCAATAAGAGCATCTTGAGTCTACAGTGCCACTACATTTCCCTCAGACATAGATTGTTGTAAGATTTTAATGAAATAAGATTTGAAATAGTAAAAATATAGAAAATCAATATGTGGTGGTCAGTGGGTGGCTGTCACAAATAAATCAGTGTATGGGAACCATCACACACACACACACACACACACACACACACACACACACACACACACACACACACATACAGATCTACATCTGTAGATAAACTGACATTTGGACTGGCATTATTTCAGCCCACAGCCCACGTTTCCTCCTCCTCAGTGAAGAAACTGGAATTGCAAAAAATAATAAATAAGTAAAAATAGTAAGTAGATAAAGTAAGTAAAAATCATCTTCAAGTTCTTGGCAGTTGGCAAACTTCCCCACTTCGTCTTCTTCTGCTGTTTATTACAGCCATGATTAACGTAGCCTTTACCATCAGCTTCTGGCGACACTACGCAGCCTAGTTCATTCTAGTTTTCTTTTTTGCGACATTTCAAAAGTTTGCTTCAAATTTTCTTGACAGTTCTATGGGAACACGGCTGTGGTCAGACTGGTGGTCAGCTACACCAGGAGAAATCTCGCCGCATCAGTGCACCGGTGGACTGTCAAAGAATCCATAAAGTTTTTACCGTCCCTGTCAGTCTTTTTACCTGCCCTTTCTGTGTGCCTGTCATTCATGGTGCTGAGTGCGTGTGCAGGGACGTGAATGAATGGAGCTGTACTGTATATATTGTGCAGTTATGGCAATTAAAAATACTTGCAGTGAAACACCTTGTAAACTGTATTATGTGCACAGTATGTTATAGTCAGCATAGTTTGTAACCCAGGGTTGAGGAGCTGATTGAGTTCCTTTCCAGCCTTGGTAAAGCTCGTCGACTCTCTTTTTCTCTCTGCTGACAAGGCCCTGAGTTCTGCGTTCTGTTACCTTCCATTATACTGCAACCTTTGATCCACATGCAGTCACTTTGTCAGCAGGCAGGCAGAGACATTTCAAATGTTCTACTTATTTTATACTGCTTTGTACGAGTCAAGGGCACAGTTACAGTAAATGTTAAAGGCTGAAAATCTGAACTATTGTAGGTGTTCAATTTATGCTGTGGAGCAGGTTGTCCACTGATCGCAAAGTCGGGGTTCTATCCCCAGCTCTTCCAGTCCACATGTTAAGGTGTCTTTGGGCAAGATACTGAACCACAAGTTGCCCTCGATATATCATCAGTGTTCGAGTGTATGTGTGTAACAGAAAAGTACTGAGTGCACAGAAAATGTGCTGTATGAATGTGTTTATGAATAAATGGTTGAATGCAACTTATAGTGTATAGTGAGTGGCGATGAGACTTAAACTTATGAGACTTATAAGTTATATATGTGCTGTCTGTGGGTATTGCTTCTTGATAAAAGGACAATTCTGTTTTTTCTCTTCATCTCTTGGGACCTATTCAGACCTGCAATAACATGAGTCTCAGGTGATCCGATCATAAATGGACCACTCTAAGTACGTCAGCCCACACCTGGCATTAGAATATGTCTCCACATGTGTTCACAAGTATGACCACTTGTGATTGGATCTCACTTCCCTGCTCTATACGCAAGTAAACACGTACATCATTCCTGTTGGCAAAGACCACAGCGTTGTTGTTTGTAGTCAGTCTGACCATGACAGACTGGTCTGTTGTTAATGTGTTGAGAGAGAGAAGGACAAGCTGTGTGAATCAATGTGATGCACACAGCTCTAAAATTAAATAAGGTTTTTCCCAAATATAGAAAATCAATATGTGGCAGCGGAAGGGAAACTCTAAGTGAAGGGGAAAAATATTTTCAGTTCATTAGGGACTGATTAGACTGTGGCAGAGGACATCAGTTGAGTAGGCGGTGCTCCAATGTGGCCCAGGACACTCCTAAAACACCTCCTCCCAAAGGTGGTTGAATCACAAAAGCGTCCTCAATGTGATCAGATCACCCAAGACACATGTTAAAGCCAGGTGTTAACAAAATCAAGAATGGCACAATGTCTGTTTTAATTCTTAGTTGAGTTTTACTTCACTGCTTTCATTTGGACTGGAGTCTTTTTGTTCTTATAATGGAAATGCAACTAAATTAGAGAAAACCAAGTCAATATTAAGTCAGTGCAGACTGACACGACACAGAGCACAGGACCATCTACTGATATACAGGGCGAGTGACAGCTACAACAGCAGGAATATTGGCACATTGATTGACAGGAAGGCATTTATATTCAGATTTGATTTAGAAGTGACTGAATGCAAACACAGCAGGTGATAAACACAAACAGTCACAATCAAAGATGTTTCTTTTAAATGAGCAAGTGTGTGTGTGTGTTTGTGACATTGGAGATTTTTGTGCTGCCAGAAACCTTGGTTTTTGGCAGCACCAAGTGACAGCGCTGGGTCACTTCTGAGACTTTGAAAGATTTCATTAAAGTGAAAACACTTCAGGGGGCAGGGGTCAACTAAATGATCATTTTAGTGTCTGTTGGAAGTGGTGAAGTTAAGTCAAGCATCGTCACCGAGTTCAGCTCTATCTGGATTGGTATTTCTGTCACTGCTGTCTCACTGCTTAACTTTCGATTTCTCACTTGCTCGCACTGAGCAGTTTTCCCACGAGCATCGCAGAATTTAATTTGAGCAAACAGTCTGAATTTTGCAGCATCTCAGGATTGGAGGCCTTGTGACTGTTGCTCATAGTACAGTTGCTTTTCTACATAAGATCATTACTTACTGCAGCATTAATGAAAGTCCACTTTCAACAAAACACCTACCAACCAACTCAGTTAGTGTATTTACGGTACTTTTTTTTCAGGCTGCAGTGACAGGTGGTTCTGTACAACTCAATTACATCCCACTCTTTTTAAAATATGATCAACATGCAGGGGATTGCGGAAGAGGAGAGAGGTAGACATGAATATGAACGCAGGGTTCCCACAACAACATAAAAGCCACTTGATCCACCTTTTACACCTGCGCAGTATTTGATATGCAAACAGTGTTTTTCCTCACAGTATTGACTGTGGTTTCCTGCTGGAGTGCTGTTGTTTGACACCGCTCATCGCACCATTAGAGGCAGCGGAGGTGATAGAAGCTGTCTCAGTCTGATCTATGGCGTGTAAATAGACTGTGACTGAAGGCTGCCGACCATGCAACTTTCATTCACTGAGGCTGTTTGTCATTTTCTGTGACAAATCTGTTCATTATTAGTGTGAAACATTGAACTGGAGAGGTTGGGGATGGCTGGTCGATTATTAAGAACATAACAAGCAGATTTTTAAATGTTTCTTTACATAATGCAAATGTTGGACCTGACTTGCTTTGTCATAACACATAGTTCTCTACTTTCCTCCAAGCACTTGGTCAGGATGAAGTTCCTAGTACAAAGGAATTTTATGGCTGTTCAGTTTTTACAGCAAACTTTGATGAACTCTATCCAGTGCCTCAGCTTGATACTGAACGGCCGCTGTTTTTGAATATTGAGTGAATTTTGTCATAGAACGGATACTGTAATCAAGCTGGCACATTGTGCTGGGTTTTTACTCAGCACCACAAAGTATGGACACAGGCAGATGTGAGTGGACGTGAGTTTGCTCTAGGCGGGGCAAACTGAGACAAAGATGTTTTACCATAAGTTGAAATTCAAAACCTTTAGTTTGACAGCGATATCATTAAATGCTGTCAATACACCCATCATTGCAAATCTTGTTCACTTATTCTTAAGAGTTCTTATATGGATTTTTCTATTAAGACAATATTAAACTTTGATGAGAACTTTTATGGGTTGACTGAATTGGTTTGATACTATTGAGTATTGAAAAAATGCCTTGCCATTTGATACCTAAGGGGTAAATGAATAAATCTCTTCTGCATTAGTGAACCAATGAGCATGCAGCAGGCTTGGACCAAGAACTAATGATGTTGGAGATTGGCTTTTTATTTACACACGCTTGAGTGTGTAAAGAGACCGATCTTAGAATAAAACTACAACTAGTACCATAAAGTGTATTGTAGTTTTCTTTTTGTTAAAATGGATTTCATAAAATTGATTTTGAAGAAAGAGTTGTTAAGAATCTGTATCGAAGTCAAGGCATCAGTATACCAACCCTTTTTTTTGTATAATTAAAATGTTTTGTTTTTGGTACAGGAATGCTGTGTAAAAAATGTGAATCTATAGATGACTGTAAGGTTGCACACACAGGGATGGATGGAGGATATTTCATTATAGGGACGAGGGCAGAAGGACACCGGCACATTTTTGTATCTACTGGTGATATTGAAGGTCATCCATGCCTTCACGTTTTCAATCTCAGGCTACAGCAGCTGTGTGTTTTCTGATTGGACCTCAGCTCACTTTGTGGTGGGAACAAAGAGAGAAAATCTGTTGGAGTAAAAAAAAAAAATCCCAGACAGCAGAAAGTTTTGTCTTTAACTACATGTCAAGATGGATGTTGCTCAGTCTGTCTTCAACACGGTGACTGCAATATAACTTTTTTTAAACAATAAGAAAAAAAACAAACAGAAATGAAGATTACTTTCCTTCACATTCTCCTTCTGTCCTTCATCTCTTATAATCTCTGTCCTGCCTCCAGACATGACTCATCAGGCTGACCCCTTCTGACAAATGTTTGAAACGATGTTACAATGTCACTGTCTACCTTAATCTACCTACATATTAATACGTCTGCCTCTGTCTTCTCTCTGCAGTATGAGTTCAAGGTGAAAAACATCAAGAAGAAAAAAGTCCACATCGTGGTGTCTGTAGACGGTGTGAAGGTCGCCTTGAGGAAAAAGAAAAAAGTGAGTGACCCTTATCATCTTATGAACTCTATTTCTATCTTACTCCTTGGCTGAGTGTGATGTGTCCTGTTTGTGTCATTTTATAACAAAAGCAGCAGAGTTTGATCTTGCTGCCAAGATAAAGAATGTACCAGGGGATATAGGCTAGATTGGATCTCTCACTCATTATAAAAGCATGTGAGAGCTTCTCGTTGTAATGAGATACAAACCTCTTTTGATTCAATAAGCTGATATGTTGTTATCATGAGAAAAGTTTCTTGTTAAAATGAAATGAGTTGTTTTATGTGATGATTATAAAAAATATTTTTTTAACTTCAGAATATGTTATTACAAGAGAATCTTTCTCATAACAATAAGAAATTGAGCTGATTTTATTCTTTATAGTGGCGACTTTAAGTCGCTATGATTCTGTCTAGGCACTAATTAGGATATCAAGCTGGTATAACTGGGTGATAATATATTTAAATTAAGTAAATGTTTGTACTTCTATCATGTTTAAAATGTCTACATTGTAAAACTTTAGTCATTACAACCTGCACAAAAAGTTATTTTTACCCCTTCTTGCCATGGGGTCCTTTAGCCTGGCTCTCAACTTAGCTGGTAAGTAGCTTTCAGTCCGGACCACTCTACTGGGGAATGATGAGACGTTGACGTGGCGCTCAGAGTAGGGAACTTTATTTCCAGGCCTTTCAACCCTTTTGTGCTGCTAGCCTAAGCTTTAAGAGTCTCTCAATTCTAGTGCACATACTTACTGGACCCAGAAGAGGACTGAGGCCCAGAAGCTTGTTGGGCTTATGTGCCCAGTGAGCGTGTTGGGATTGGTAAGATTGGGATGCCATCTTGGTAATGAGGAGTAAAATGATCCTCTGTGTAGTGCCTCTCATGTATGTATGCATTATGATGACAGCCTTGCAATTGTTGCAGTTCTTTGTTTTGCACATATAATGTGTTTTTAGTCACACTATCAGCCAACCAAACACCCCCTGCTTGTAGGAGTAAAATATGTGGTGGGCTAATTTGTGCAATGCTACATGCTGGTTTAGTCATGTTAAGAAACCAATACAGATCCATTTCCTGTTTACTGTCTGTGGCAGAAGGAGATTGTAAGAGCCTGAGAGGAATTGAGAGTATGATGGAAGATGAAAAGGATGACAGATTTTGAAGAGTAAAGAGAAGCGATGAAAATGGAGGAGGAAGTTAAAGCATAAAAAATAGAGAGGAGAAAACCTGAAGAAAGTGGAGGGGTGGGGGGTGAGGCTGGATGTGTTTCTCGCTGCAGTGAGGCTGACAGCTGTAATCTACAGAGACAGAGCGAAGTGGACTTCACCTGAATCAGAGAGTCTGACAGGTGGAAAACCAGTGGCTGGAAACAAAGTGAAGCTCACTTAGTAGTGGCGTCCAGTGTTCTTCCCAGCATTCAGTTCTTCATCTTAATTCATTAAGCCAGACTTGAGGCCACTGGTTGTTTTGTTAAGGTTTCTTTCAAATGTATGTAATATTTGATGTTACACTAGTGACTGTCAGCTGTCAACTAGTGTTTAAACTGTTGATCTGTTCAGACAGATTATGTGTGCAGGGCCAGATACTCTTGTTGAATTGTTTTACCAGCCTGCATGTTGGGAGAGAGAGAGAGACACGGTAGCTCAAAAATTTGATTGGCTGCTGACAACGGAAAAGGTCAGAATGACCAGACGGCCTTTGCTGATTGTTTACCATTCACTCAAATTCCCCTGTTTGCTTTGAAAAGAAATTGACTTCTGAGGACTTTTTGATCCTTTTGCATTAAGCCAAAGTCTACTGAAAAATATCACATTTATTCATTTAATTTCAACAAACTTGACATTATAACAAGCATTTATTGAATTTTTTCATATTCTACTTTTTTTCATCCTGAAAAATTACATCATTTGAAAGGCTGTAGTTACTGTACATAGTATTGACCTTGACTTGTTCTTACAGCCAGATGTACACTACAGCTATGCACCAGTGTCTCATGAAAAAGAGGCTTAATTGAGTTGTTGAAATGGTCCTCAAAGGAATGGCCAATTCATTACAGCAATATAAATGATCAGTTATGTAACTGTGTGGACCTGAGAGCTTGTCTGCCCGTCCACATTCTTTTGTGTGTGTATGAACATTGGTATGTGTGTACAGCATAGAATTTAGATTATATACTAGGATTGCATACTATTACCCTGACTGATATTTTTATGTCAGGAATGGGCAGTATGGCCTAAAGATAGTATTATTATACATATCATACTATATTCATAAATGTGTGATTTAACCCTTTGAGGCATAAAAGCACACCAGTATGAATATTCTAGTCCCCGCAACCTTTGTCTGCATTAAAACATTCTTGGTTACTGTATATTCATTAGTAGTTTCTATTGCAACAATTTTAAAGGTAGAAAGTAAGATTTCCATGTGTTGTTTGATTATAAAGCAGTTTTATGTTCTATATTAATACTGTGAAAGTATCTAAGCGCTCCGTCCACAGAGAAATGCACACAGCCAGTATTCAGAAACTGAGCCTGCCTGTCACTGCCCTCAGCCATGCTCCTAGCACGGCCCACATGGACCCACCATCCAACCTTGCAGGATTTGGTTTCTCTGGGTGTTTACCTGAAATCTATTCAATCAGAAACACACTCAGAAAACAGTCAACCTGTTGTTGCAAGATCTCCAGGAAGACGCCCAAAAGAGGAGATGTAAATCTACATTGAGATGGTTTTTGGTACTAAAAACCACAATTATATCTTCATATAGATCAATACTTCAAATAAAACACCAGAAAAGTGTAAAATATGGGACCTTTAAATTACATGCAAAAAGGGGAAGTCACAACCAAGTTAAATTTGACCCATAACAAAAACAGAGCTCAAAGCAACAAAAAAGTGCATCAACAAGAATCTCTGAGAAAGACATTTAACCCAGTGCTGTTTCTTTTCTGAACCAATTTGTCCCCCTTCATCTTTAATTACAGTTTCTGAACAACACATATAAACTCGGTTTGTCGCGCCCTCGAGTTCTCTCCACTCCAGATACAAAAACACACACGCCTCACCTACGTCACACACATGCACATCTAGGAGAATTTTCTGGATGAGCGGCGGAGTGTGTTATCTGTGAGAGGGTGACAGCCATAGGAGAGAGCAAGAGAAGCAAAACGCCAAAACAAATTTAATGCCGGTGGGTTAAAACAATTACGTGACTATTTGTACTTAAAGTTCATGATATAGTCGTTTACTACATCGCACGTGAAACAAGCCACAATACATCGAGTATATTCATTATATCGCCCACCCCTAAGCCGTCGGTATGTGGAACTATTTAACTTCTCCAGTTCACTTCTTCAGTTTCCCCAACATTTGCATTCTAGAAGAAACACCAGCAGCATGCAGTCCATAAAACTCACTACTAAATCCCATGAAATTCTTAGGTATTAGTTTCTAACGAGGACCACCACACTGAGTGAACAGCTGGTAAAATTGGTTACATGGGTTTCAGAAAATCTGATTTCTGTTTTATGAACTTTTTATATAGACATAGGCAAAAGGGAATCTCCATCTTCTCTGAAAGTGCTAATATCAGCTGACTGCTATCAGCTCTGATCATGTTGTCTGCTATGCCATAATCATCACAGGAGAAAAATGTGTTTACGGAGGTGAAATGGAGCGTGTAAACTGTGAAGAGCAGGGGAAAAGGACATGTCTGCAGCTGTGTGTTAATTGGTGGGGCATCAGTGTTGGTGTTTGGGTTAATGGCAGGATGAAAATAAGAGACCTTGAGAGACAAGCTCAGATGTAATTAAATTAAGTTTATTAGGATCGGGTCTGACTGTACTCAGGTCAGGCCACGTCAGAAACAAGGGAGAGAGGATGTGATGAAGGGGTTTGACTGAACGCCATGATTAGACTGTGTTATACTGGCTGATTTGAGATTGATATTAAAGCCATCATCGAAAGCTCAGCATCTATATTGAAAGGCCAGTCAATAGAGGGATGTTTTGCCTCCACCTGTTCTCTTGTCTTGTTTGATTCCCTGGCTGGAAAGCTGAAATGTCAAGTGTGATGGGCAATGATCTATTTACATCTCTGAGTTTGGCGGAGGCGATGAAAGCCCACAGACTGGAGCAACTAAATGACTGACTCAGCTACGCTCTGTAGAGATAAAAATCAATATGAATAATTCCTGCGCGCTCATGTCTTGACATTTGGATTGTGACATTAACCCGGACGGTAGATTTAAACAAATGGACGGACAGACAAAAGGAAAAATGTAAATAAATGTGTCACAGATGGAGATGTTAGAATAATATCAACACCATTCTGAGGCATTTCGCTCACGATAATGATTCAAGGGATTTACACTATTTATATTTTATTATGATTTTTGGTGTAATGTGTAATACGATAATAAAGTAATATCACAATTATATTGTATATCACGATATTTGCCCTGAACTGTATCAAGATATTGAATTTTGGATGTCGAACAAGCCTTTTATTAAAGGTCCCATATTGTCTAAAGGTAGATGTCCATGTGTTGTTTGATTATAAACAGGTCTAGGTTCTATATTAATACTGTGAAAGTATCAAAGCACAGAGAAATGCACACAGCCTCTATTCAGAAACTGAGCCTTAAAATGAGTCGTCAGGACTTCTGCAACTTTGTGATGTCACACCGAAACGTCACCACTCCAAACCATGCCCCAAGCCCTGCCCACCTAGGCCCACCGTCCAATCTTGCAGTATTTGATTCCTCTGAGTGCTTTCCTGAAATCTGCTATATATTTTTATGCCATCACTGAGCCAATTAGAAGAGAGACTCAGATCCTCCTCTCTTCTGATTGGCTCACCAACCTGTTGTTACTAGAGCTCCAGAGAGAGGTGATGTGTAACTACATTGAGATGGTTTGTCATACTTAAAACCACAAATATATCTTCTTATGGATCAAGACTTCAAATAAAAGTGTAAAATATGGGACCTTTTAAAACGTTATAATTCAATTAGTTTGAATAGTTTTGATTTTTTTTCCACAGAAGAAGGAGTGGACATGGGATGAGAGCAAGATGATGGTGATGCAGGATCCCATTTACAGGTAAGTTGGCCATAAGGTTTATTTTGTATGTAACTTTTAATTTCTGCAGCTCAACTTAAAATGCTAATTTGTTTTTGTTTTTAATTCTCATTGTAATGACTTCGAGCTTATTCAAGCTTTTCCCTAAACAAATTTTTAATCCATACTTGATTAAATACGCTGTTGTTGGCTCCGGAAATTAGAATCTTTTGTCTCTGTCACCGCAAGCGTTGACATTTAGGAGAAAGAAAGATATTGGGGCTGGTTGATGACAACTTTTACTGACTCCAGAACAGAGTGGCACAGAGAGAAAAGAGATGAGTTATTTGGTATTGAAGTTGAAGTGATGATTAATAAACATGGGAGAATAGAGGAACACTGATAACATGGAATACACAAATGTGAAAGAAAAATGTGTGGCCTCAGAAAAAGGGTTTTTAAATATTGTATTCAGTTCTCTTTAATATTGCGTTTTGTGAAAATGTAATCTAGCAGAAGCTGTGATAAAGGCATTTTAAAAATTCATTTTAATGATGCATGTAATAAATGAAAGAATAGACAATGAAAACAAGTCCTGAAATCATCAACAACGACATACGTTTTTAATATTCCCAGCCTTTTTGTAACGTTATCACCTCAACTCTTCATTGTTCAAAGTCCATTTTAACAAGCCAGTACTGTTCTCAGTGTATCACTATTTCCTGCAATAGTCGTCTATGCATTTTTTTTTTTATAACAACACAGTTCTATCAAAATCACAGTGTGATGTTTTATGCACATCTTACAACAGCCTGAGTGGTTTCATAGTGGCAGCTGGAACTGAGGTGCCTCATTTACTCCAGATGGTTTTTTGGATCAAAGTACTGTGAGCCCGCCTTTACTCGTCGTCTGTGGAGGGAGAGCCAGTTTAGGTTCGGGTGGTGGATCTCTGACTTCTCCTGGATGTGCTTGTGATGGGGCGGTAGTTTCATGTTTATATTCCCATCAGCTGGCTCCACAGAATGAGTAGTTCTTGGTTTGAGTTATGGCTGTTTCTTCAGCAGAGAGTGATGAGTGTGACGCCTGCGCTCTGATCCACCTCACAGGACTGCCATAAGGTCCAGTTCATTCAGTCCATTTGCTGCAGGGCTGTAATCCTTTGATTTGAACTCGCACCACAGTCTGTTGTTGTCAGAACAGACATGCTACACACACACACACACACACACACACACAGTGCTGAGAGGCAGCCTGTGTGAATTCGGTGGCTCAGAAAGATTCACTGAAAAATGAGAGGAATACTTTTAGATGTCTGCACCATTAATCTCTGTTTCTCACTGACACACACACACACACACACACACACATACACACACACACACACACACTCTCATACATGCAGTCACAGGGAAGTTCGGTCAGACTGGTGGAGGGTGTATGACTAAACTTGTAAACCTTCATGAGTAGAAAGAAGGCTGAAGACTGGTTTCACCACAGACACACAGTTCATATTCTCTACTGGATGACTCATACTTTATCCATTCTCTCTCTCTCTCTCTCTCTCTCTCTCTCTCTCTCTCTTCACACACACACACACACACACACACACTGACATGCTCACTCCCAGGCGGGTACAGCTCACAAGTGCATCCAGGAGCCCAGTTGGGGGTTCTGGCTTTGGAAATGATTCTGTCAGAAAGATGGATTTTGGCCGGCTGTTTGTGTAAGCATCTCTGAGCATGGGAATTTAGAAAGATTTAGTTTGGTTGGAGATGCCTTATCTTATCCCACACATTTGAGCCTTGTGCACAGTTTTTAATATTACAGTCGCAAAGTTTCCCCACAGGAGGATGCTCGGTAGCAAAGGGGAGGGGCGGGGGGGCGTAAAGCAGAGTGTGATGGGTAAGACTCACTCATCCATCAGTCGCTGTCGTCTGCTGAGCACATTCTGACAGGTCCTCACGGCTTTTCGTTTTTTCTGTTCAACAACTACATCCAGGCAGAACCTCAGTCATTAAATATCTGGTCTTCAGTGGATGTGAAACTGCACCTCTGCTCCTTTTTTCACCTGAACTTTAAAGTTTAATTTTTCATGCGGGTGCAGTCGTTTCCTGAGATGTTAGTGGAGGCCAAGGCTGATTCTCCTTCCTGGTTACAGCTCTTGGCCTATTATATGAGCAAGAAAATATACCAATAGAAAGTTTGTTCAAAATCAAAACTGCCATTAATTTTCAGCAGATCCAAGCTCCATATCCATTTATTGAGAAATTATGAGATGTTCTTGTTTCTGCTCTGTTTCCTCTACCATATCTCAATCAAGTGACAGCAATCGATATCTAATCAGGAAATATTACTTTCAGTGCCATAAACCATCTCAGAGTGCAGTGTGCACTGAGGGCAGAGTCTTTAATGTTAGGAAAAGTCACTTGTTGACTCAGACCCAACTGAAACCTGCTTTCTATGAACAAACTTGTGGTAAAGTCCAGCCTGGCAAACTTAATGGGCATCATGAACCAGAAATGATTAGGGAAAAGAAGAGAGACTTGAACTGAACAGGTGAAAACCACTAGCAGGTGTGTTTGCCTGTTCACTAGCTACTTAGCTTGGTAGCTAACTTGTATTTTGTATACACTATTCAGGCTTGAATTTAGGTTCAATTTGTTACTGATGGTCTCAGCCTTTTGAAAAGCTCCCACTTATTCAAAGCCACAACTGTCAGTAGTTTTCTGAAGAAGTTGTAAGAAGACATTCATGTCAGTGAAGAAGTATTTTATTTAAGAGATAGGTTTTATTTTTCTCAAATCATGGCTGGGTCTGTGCTTGGCAGGAGTCTGGACTCACTCAGGACTGTTGTGGAGAGAGGCATGCAATGTTAGATGGAGGCCATCTTGGGCAATACCAACCATCCTCTCCACAACATTCTGGCAGGACAGAGAAGCAGCTACAGCTGCAGCAAACGAGGTTCAGGAGATCCTTTGTTCCCACTGCCATCAGGCTGTACAACACCTCAGCCTTAGAAGTGGACTAATCTAATTATTATTGTTTATTTATTATAACTGTTATTATTATTGTCAATGAGTTAATGGACACATGAATTTCCCCTAGGGGATAAATAAAGTATCTATCTATCTATCTATCTATCTATCTTATGGATGTCAATAGACGTATAAACTTTTTACTCCAAAATTAGTGCATATAAGCAGTTTTTTAAATGAGGGTAAATATGCAAAAAAAGATGACAGACACAACTGCAGGGAGCGATGTCATCACATGCAGCCACAGAGGAGAAAGAGTGAGCTTCTAGTTGCCGAGCAGACTGATAAAATGAATCCTTGGGGTCTCATCCCCGGTTTAGTGTTCCTGTAAGTGTTGGAATCTCTGTGTGAGACACTTCTCTCGGTGATTGTGTATTTTTAAAACTTTTAAAAATTCATCCCCGAGTGCAGTGTAGCTCAGTGTCTCTGGTGTAACCGCACCGTACTGGGCAGAGGACAGGTCTGTTGACAGTGTTTGTGCTCTGAAAGATAACACAAGCGCAACTGCTGCAGAGTCATTTGACCTGGGAGTGAATACTGATTGTTCCCTTTCACACTGCAGACAGAAGCCTGATGTTAGCGGGTCCTGGCGAGTTTTTTAACCAGTGTAAAAGGGAGTTTATTAGTCTCTTTAATCCTGTCCATACTGCCCTCATACTTTCCTAAGATCAGCCGAGGCTGACCTGTGGCTCTCAGTAGTCCTAGTTAGTCAAATTGAGTGGTTGTCATCGTCCTGATGGTTTATTGAAACCGTCACAATGCAGCCCCCCACCGTGGCTCAGCAAGGAAACACTGTCTGTGGAATCACAATGAATCACAGCTTTTCATACAAACAGAGGTGTCTCTGGCTCAGGAGATGGACCGGGTCGTCCTCTAGGGTCGGCTTCTGCTGTCCACATGTCAAAGTGTCATTGGCTTGGACACTGGATTATTTGAGTCGAAGTGGCCCGCCCCCGCTGTGAGCAGCTGTGGAAAACCCTGAGTCATACGAGATGAGAGTAGCGGTCAGTCTCTTGACCTTATTCTGTTGTTAATCAGTGGATCCGCTGGTGGCCTTGACTGATGAGAATGAAATTAATAATTAGCCATGTTTTTACATGAATACACGTTATGTTTCTGTTCTGTTCTTATCACCTGTCTTAGCCATACCGTTGGGACAGTACTGTGATATCTGTGTCCTTGGATTCTTTCACTGGACATTAATTTGTTATCAATATGCAGACTGCAGCTTATATATCTCAGCCTGAGCATCGGGCATCAGGATTTAAAAAAAAAAAAAATGACCCCATGCAGTGTGCTATGGAGTTGTAAAAGAGAAGAGGGATTAGTCTGTAAATGTAAATGTGTGAAAGATTTTGCATTTGCATCAGCCTCATATCGTCGAAGTGCAAATTAGAAGGCTGTCCTCGGCCAGTGGAAATCCCCCTGTGAGAACACATGGTGTGAATGTAACCTTTTAGTCTGAGGTATGAATTGCTGCTCTCCATAAGTTTGATGTGATCCATATTCACTTCTCGCTTTTCAAACACAGAGAAAAATGTACATCAAAGACCCTGGACCCTGTTTTTAAATGCTCCTATGTGAGTTTTTCAGCTGTACACAGGCCAGATGCTGTGTGTCTAAGTCATTTGGGAGGATTTAGCTGAGATCTTTGCGTTTCTGTGCATTCATTTTCATCTTCAGCTGCTGTGTAGCTGGAGCTGCTGGCTCGCTGCCACTGAGGCTGCCCACCACCTCATGTGCACCTCAGCGCTGGCAGGGGGTGGCATGGCACATTGACATGTTTAGTGATACTTGAGGTGATCTTCCACTGACTTTTATTTACTAAATCTTAACTGTACATCTGCTGTAGCCTAATGACAAAGAGAAAAACAAAATATCTTCACTCTGAGGGTCTAAAACTGCAAGTGGATGAAACAACAAAGGATAGATGTACTAGCATTAACATATGGGCAAGAAGAGCTTCTCAGAAACATGCACACACACAGACACGACTTCAGACCCATA